TCTTGAAAAATAGAGGACATAAAGGCGCCAGGTTTCATATCAATAGATAGAATGTCCTCTATGATGGCCGCCTTAGTTAGGGGTGTCATATCTGGCAGTCATGTTTGATGGGTCATGTCTGGTGTTCCAGACAGAAAAACTGCAACTCTTCACAAACAGCCACGGCTTGTAATAGTTCTGTCTTTTATGATGTTTATAATTTTAGAATTTGATGGCCTAATCACTTCTGCTTTGAGGAAATTAAGATAGTTTTGCTTCCATGGGATAAATTCACTCATGCAAAGGCCTAAAGCAGACCTAAGGTCTCATATACCTGGGCAACTTTGGTTGGAGCAAAGTTAGCCCAGTTAGAAATAGTGGTGTGAAGTTCATTTCAGCTTCTGCATTCCTGGCATTGAGAAGCTGGCGTTATTGTGAAAAGCTTGCTGCCTCATTATTGGTATTATTCAACATTCAGTGGGAGAAGTTGGACCTAAAGACACGTACATTAGATGGAGATGTGAGAGTGGAGACTGAAACCCATGGTACTGAACAGATCTGATGGGATTTGGGGCTTTGCTGATGACTTCGTCACGTTGACGACTCATGTTCATCTTGGTGTCCACTGGACTCTGAGATCCCTTTCTGCTTCCGTGCTGTCGAGCAGGTCATTTCCTAGGCAGTAGGTGTGCTGGACCTTTTTCCTCCCTAGGTGCAGCACTTTGCATTTCTCCTTGTTGAATTGCATTCTGTTGTTTTCTGCCCATTTGTCCAGCCTGTCCAGGTCTGTCTGTAGTTGTTCCCTGCCCTCCAGTGTGTCCACTTCTCCCCACAGCTTTGTATCATCAACAAACTTGGACAGAGTGGCAGAAGCATCCCTCACCACCCCAGTTCTGTGTCTGGAGAATGCAGTTTGTTCAGTGGCCATCTCAACAGTTGTGTGCATGCAGTGTAGAAAAATCCTTAGGCCCAAAACTAACCTGAAAGTATAGTGCAAAGGTAAACACATAAATGGTTTTCCTGGGAGGAATAAGATCTTATTTAGACACCTCAGTTATTAGGTATCTAGAGGATCTGGCCCGCTGCCCCTTTGGTTTTGTGATTCTTGTCTGAAATCGGGATAACAGAAGCAGCAGGAAGATTTTCCTCTAGGAGAGTATTGTAAGGTCTCTTCAGATCTATGATGTGTAGATTTCCAATGAGGGGTAACGACCTCATCCCTGGGAGGAAATCATCCCTGATGAAGCTGCTTGGAAAATGCTCAATTTTCATAATAAACTTAAGAATCATGGCAAAAACATCAAATATTGGAAGGGGATCAGTCCATTCCATTTCCCTTCAGCACACCATTGGCTGGATAGTTTAAAAACCAAGGGTTAAAATAAATAAGGACTGTCCATTGGAGGAACACTGGGTGCAGCTTGAAGTCCATGGGCCACTACATAAACATTGTATGTAAAAAAGGATCTAATCTCTGTTGGGATTACAAATTAATTTAGTCTCCTCCCCTCTCACTTGCTAATTATCATTCAGGAGTGAGTATTCAG